ATCCAGATTCCTTGAAAACTAACTTAAAAGGAATTACGATATTTTGGATAACGTTCATAAAGTTTTCTTTGAATATATCCATTTTTTTAGAGATATGATATTTACAGGTGTTCGTGCTATATTTTCCGATTATAAAATAATGCATGAATTTATTGCGTGATTCTTGAATATTATTTCAGCCATTTTTTAAATATTGTTATATAATAGAGAGAAGAAAAATTTTCAAGATCTTATTTTAACCGACAAAAACAACTATTACTTTTGACGAATAAATATAGTAGAAACAAATAAAACAAATAGTTGCGAATTATTTATATCTGATATGCAATATTGGATTATTATGAATACATTTGTTACAATATGATATCTTATCTATGCTAGAAATAAGAGATTGAAGATAATTTACTTCTGACCTAGACTTCGCCGAGGAAGGTCATAGATATCTCAGTTAATGGAAGTAATGAAGGATGGGGAGGTGTTATGTGAAATAAAGTGGCCTAACCATAGATTAAATTTGATTTGGGCTATGTTAGGGTTGGGTGGTAGAGTATTATGACTATGGAGTAAGTTATTGTGATTACTATGTAAATTAGGTAATGAGTGAATGTTTTGTCGACTATGCTTCCATATCTTGTATGGATGTCTTTTATTATCTTATGGTGGAGGAAGGCTGCCCATTCGTGAGCATCGGAGATTTTGGGAGTTGGGTAGGATGTATCTATCATCTTCGTTTGTCAGGTGGATTTCTTCAAATTTCTTTAAGAATCGTTCTGGGTCGATATTAGGAAATCTCTTCTTGTAGGCCAATTTGTTCGGATAATTTGATATATTGTGGTGGGATTTGTGGGAATTTGTAATAGTTATATCCTGGGTAGTTGGGTGTAAGCGGAAATGAAATTTCCGCTTATACCCAACTACCCAGGATATAACTATTACATACCCTGCGATCTTGATATAGTGACCAGGGTATAAGAGTTTTAAATTGCTACAAAAAGTGATACTATATGATCATTTACTGACCTGGTTTAATTTCTGATTTTTCATGCACAACCGACTAAACAAGAAATCTACAATCTTTTGCAATTTAATATTTGGTAGCTGATTTAAATCGACAAGTATTACAACTTAAGGGTTCATTATATACACCACATTTATCTATCGTATATAATTATTAGGACGCTTTTTTAAATTATAATATATAATAATATATCATAAATTATGATCATTAATAAACTAAAAATAACCGCAAGTAGTGTTGAACATGAGATATTTATTTGAGGCCGTCACTTTAAAGCATTACGTGTACAGTGTAACTAAGTAGAAACGATCTGGTAGGTTTTGTTGAACAAGCTGTAGCTCTACATTGTGCACAAAATCTCGATAACCATATTCGCAAATTTTTCCCGAGGAACTACATTCATAACCACGTGTAGGATCATATCCTGTAAAGAAATTAAAGTTAAAATTGAAACACATAAAAATAATAATTTGTGAACGTTTACTTACCAATTTGATTACTACTGTATTGGCTGTCTAGTAGGGCATTGCATGTGGTTTTCGGGTTACAAGCAGAATAACAAGAAATTATGCCAAAAAACAATAATAAAAAACCAATATATATATATTGTTTGAGACCCATAATATAAAAAGTCATAAAATAAATTATATATACTGTATATACTGTATATAATCTTTAATAATAAATAACATTAGTTTATTTTAAATAATTTATATTATCAAATATTGTACAAGAATATACAATATACTGTATATGAATATTATTAATTATTGATTTATAAATTCATACTGTATAATGTACAAATTATATGTAAAAAATTTTTTTTTGTTAAAGTTCCAGAAATGTTTTATAATTAGGATTTTGAAATACAGTATAAACATATTTGTGTACATATACAGAGTGTATAAATAAAGTTGCCTTAATAAAATACAGTATCTTATAAGTTATTTTTTAATTAATAAAAAGGTTTATTAAAATATACTAGGCAAATTTGCATGCTAGACAATCTAAGTGATGTAATTCAGGTCGGCGCCAAACGCTAGAATTATATTTTTACGTAGGTTAAATCACGGAAATCATAAAAAATGGAATTACAGAGTTGCACAATTTGTAAAAGTTATCACACATATAGGCGGAAATCTTCAATTTTTGTGATTAGATGAATTGAATGATGAGATTGTCAATAATATATATGATATGAGTGATGCCAAGGGAAAATGGGACATTGGTCTATCATTGATTATTTATTTAAATAATCAATTTAATAATCACAACATTATATTAAAAATTTTCGCCCATATCGATATGATTATTAAATCGGAAATTACAGAATTTGTCAAAAATTTATTCGTCCATGGGCAGACCATCGGAAATCATATGATCGACATCGTGTTTCATGAAATCTAACGAGTCATTTTTTTTTTTTTTTAGAAAAATTAATTTCATAACGATAACGATAAACTTAAATCATCACGAGACGAGAAAAGATCTTCATTTTACAGATTTAGTTTATATACTTTATACGTAGACTTGACTAAAATTCTGTACATACGAAATCATAATCCATATCAGGTAAATTACACTACACGCGTGGCTTGTTTAAAGGTTCACAATCTCCCCTGCATGCTCTAACTCAAATTTTCTGTTTGGCAAAATTAAATTTGAATAAAAAAAAAAAACATTAGTCACGGCATAAAATAAAGGTAATGTAAAATAACTCGGTCTTTATTATATAAATAATAATCATTATTAATATGGATTTCGTTCTTTTGATTTAAATTTTGATTTAATTATAATAATAATAATAAATAACCTTTATTTTAAACGTTATATATAAATTCTTGATTATGAATAATATATAAAAGAATTAATTATTCGACATAATGCCTATGTATGATGATGAAAATAAACCATGGGGAAAAACTGAAATAGAAAAATTAACTCAAGCAGTTGGAAATCATGGGGAGGATTGGACATTTATTTCTGAAAAAGTTTTTTTAAATTTAAGATCAGGTTTGGCAATAGCTGAAAAATGGACGCGCATAAGATCAAAATTAGGTGTTAAAGAATCAAATGTAAAAAAGAAAATTAAATTAGAAAATGGTGAAGCTAAAGTTCGAATAACTGACTCTCAAAAAAATGGTCAAATAAAAAATATTATTTCAGATAAAACGTTTCATACCCCATCAAAAAAAGAAGATATATCTTTAATTCCTCCTAATCAATACTTTTCTGGGTCGACAATTTCCTCACAAAGTGACTCTGAACAAGAGTCAAGTTATCAGAGGAAAACCCCAGTCCCCGTAAAACAAGCATCTATACGTGCTAAAACTAAAAATAGTTGGACCATAGAAGAAGAAGATCTACTTGTGGAAGCTGTTAAAATTCATGGCACTAATTGGAAATATATATCAGAAAACTTTTTTAACTCTCAAAGGAAACCAAATACTTGTTCTAATAGATATCGACAAATTCATAGTCGATATGATAACCCTTCAATATCTCCATGTGAAAGGACAAAAAGTGTAAAAAATCAAATTGTAATCCGATCACCTACTGATCAAAAACTTGATGAGACTGAAGATACAATGACTGGATCAAGTATATCAACAATTAGTGAATTTTCTCCTAGTTGGGATCAAGAAATGTCTTTTTCATTATCACTTAGTCAAGATCAAGAAATATCTTTATCCATGATGACTGAAATAAATTCTTGGGCTGATATGGAAGATGAAGTTCTTCAAACTGCCGTATTATTACATGGTGATAAAGATTGGGATAAAATAAAAAACATTTTACCACATAGAAAGCAAGTAGAGCTAGTTGCTCGTTGGATAATGTTAAAAGAAAAATATCGACTTATATTACCTACAGACTTTAATTCTGATCCTAAAATAACCGTTCCATTTACTGAAGAAGAAGAAGAACTTCTATCTCTTGGTGTTGCTTTTGAAGGATTTAAAAATTGGCATAAAATTGCTCAAAAACTACCTAGACGTAGCCTTTCTGATATGATTATTCAATGGAATATATTAACACAAAGGAAACGCGATAGAGAAGCATACAAGAGAATGCAGGACGAACAGGAATCGATAGAAGAGCCTCAATTTTCACAATCGAATGATAATAAAACTTATGATAATGGTAATAATCTTATTTATGAATTTATGAATTTATGAATTTATGAATTTATAAAGGTTATACTATATGAAAATATTTATTTATTAAATTATAAATTATTGTGTAGCAGATCCCTGGGGTATAAATGTTGATGAGGTAAATTTTAATTTCAAAAAATATTTTATTTAGTCATATCTTAATATATATACCCTAATGCAAATAAATTTTTTGCATTTAATAACCATTTTTTCGTTTATAGATAGATTACTCCAAAGTGCTTAGTCCAGCTGGGGAGTGGGATAGATATATGAAGCGCATTGCAGAACTGCACCCAAATGATGCGATGGATATTAACAATAGTTTTCAATCTGATGGATATACTTGAGTTTGGTATTATTATATTATTAATACTTTACCCTTATACTTTTTTTTTTTTCCTGAAAAAAAAAAATTTAACAATTGTGCCATATGTATCTACTTTAAATTCAAGAGGCATTTGGGTTAGACATAACAATTTAAAATGTATGTTTGTCGTTTCTTAACACAATTCTTATATGTTATAGATAATTTGATTCCTAAATCGTCCCGTCCTAATAATTTTTGAACATAAAAAACATTTTAATGCTATATATAGACGCTGTGATAATAGACATAAATACAGAAATAGATTAGAACAATACGTGTATTTTCACCAGAAATTGAAAAAAAAAAAAAATCGAATTTTAAAATATCATTAATAAATGATTTTAAAATATGATAAAAAAAAAAGTTGGATCCAATAAAAAACGAATTTTGTGCTTACAAAAAATTATCACCACATTATTTTTTAAAAAATTTCTTGAACTTCTTGACATTTTAGGATTTAACTCCATAAACCAAGAACATGATGAGGATGTATGCCTCCCGGTCTTTTTACATTATTTGTACAGAAGCACTTCAATGGAATCTACAAAATCAAAAATATTTTCATAATTTCCGAATTTTTAATATATAATGTCCTATATAAATTAGAATATGGCTCACCCCGTGTTGCTTTATAGTTCTTTCATTTGTTCCACATTGCTTTTCAGCCCATTCAACAAGCTCTTTGCAATGAAAAAAATTAAAAGGATCGGTAGAATAATTGATTCCATTATATAATACAACATGAAGATCGACGAATGGTGCATCAAATAGTGGTCTACACATTTCTTTAGTAAGGTTTTGACAACCTTCACCAATTACTAAATGTTCTAAATATTTACAAGTTGCTAAACCTTGTAAAGGACCACAATCTTGAAAATTAACTTGATGAAATACGACTTCTCTTAATGAGCCTGATTGATGTTGTAATGCATCAATTATTAGATGAACATATTGATAACATCTATAAATATGAATTCTTTGTAATTGAACTTGATATCGTATTAATGTAGCCAGTTTATCAGCTTCAATTTTGGCATCTTGAGAAGTTCGCGGAAATAAACCCAAATATATTTCCAAATAGTTCTATATAAGTATATAAATTTAAGTATCAACAAAGAGAAAAAATAAATCAATAAAAAAAATAATAATAAAAAATAGTGAAAAAATTATATTGCAAACCACTTGTTGACAAGCTTGAGATAAGTAAGATAAAAATTTGATATCAATATATTTTAAATCAATGTACATCTTATTCACAGATGCGATCACAGAATGGAAGTTTGATTGCAATAAGTTGTATTCAACAACAAATTCAGTAGAGCAAAAAAGCGTACGTAAGTTTGTATCATATTTACAAAGAACTTTAATGAATGCACCTCGTACGTATTTCAAAATTATGTCATCATCAATAGCACCATAACATTCACACCAAGAATATATTGCGTTATTTATCATTTGATGACTAAAAGTTTTTAGAAAAGAAGGATAGTTTAAGATTGGATGATTTGGTATATCAAAAATAGGAACACCGTTATTTCTTAATTCTCCTAATTCATCGGTATTAAGAAAGGCCAAATAGATATTAATAACGCATTCACGGGAGCTACCATGAGTTTCGAATGGATCAGACCAAAGTAATGGAATAGCACTTGTACACCAAGTTCTATTAACTCTTGCGCAAGAACTAAGGTTACTAAATCTTCCTTCTCTCTCATCATGAATTTCTTTGAAAACTATGTTTAAAATTTCTGGAGGAAGTAGTCGAGTCATGTAGTGCTTGATTAATTACTATATTTTTTAATCAAAAAATTATATAAAAACGTCAATATTTTTTCAAAGAATGATTGGGAATAAAAAAAAGAACGTTTTTTTTTTTCATTCAAGTTACCTTTTATGAATTTTCAATCGATATAAATTTATAAAATTTTATAAATGAAACTGAAAAATCAGAAATTAGGAGGAATTACATAAATATTAATTAGAAATATTGCAGTTGGAATAAAAAATAAATAATGATCGATAATATAAGAAAACAAAGAAATGTTTGAAAAACATGCATGCAAAGAGAAAAAAAAATATTTACCATTTACATATATATTTTCTTATTTAAGAGAGAGAATGGTTATCGATTGTAATTATTAAAAAGTCTTGAATAAATTAATTCGAAATTCATTTTCATTATCATATCCGGTATGTATAAGTCATCATACAAGACCACGTGAAAATTTCTATATTTACAGTTAGCCTTATCTCGATCTATCCACCAATAAAACTTCGTATCTAGCCATTATTGAAAAGAAAGAAAAAGTAAATTAATATTTTTTTTTTATAACTTTTGTGAATCATCTTTTATAGATAATACATTTTGAAATTGTATCTCTAGTATATTGATTTGAGCCGAACTCAAAAATTTGCACCAAGGTTTATCCAAATACATTAATTAGCTGTTCTAGATACGTATTGGCCGAAAGAACTTTTAATTCGGCAAAAATACTATACTGTATAAACATTTTTTACAATAGATTCGCTAGAATAAGTATTCATCTCATGTTCTTTGTTTTAGATCATTCATGTAAGTATAATCAGTTAACTGTTAAGTAGGCACTCGTTGAATTGAAACATGATCCGGAAGCCCCATATATCATTTCTTGTATAATATCTGTACTATCTGTGCAGGAGGTTATATTGTTTATAAAATAATCATCTGCATAGATACTGTACTAACACTGCACAGATGCCCAAACTTGTATGTACTGTACGTACGTACGGTTATAAAATCGAATATGTCGAATATGTAAATTCTTTTACTTTTTCGTTTGCTTTATTACATCAAAAGAAAAAGAAACATTGTTAATTACGGTAATTATAAGTATAGAAAAATTAGAATACGTATTAAAGTAAAAAGATAGAGAGATAAGACTACATACATACGTACAATACATATAATTTCCAAAATAACATTGTCGGTGTCTGATAATGCTGTAATGGTGGGTAGTGTAGTTATCTATAATAAAATTATATTATATAATATATAATATATAATATATAATAAAATTAAAAGAAATTGAACCTATTTTTATCATGTGATGTATAAAGAGATAAAGAGATACTAAAAAAAAAGTTTTGGTAGCTGACGCTAAGTCAAAACTATGCCCGAATAGACTTACACACAGCTTTGACCTAAATAATAAAAATAATGAACCTAATTCACAGGTAGAAATCATGCAATTGGCTAATAAGTGTTAATTGTTCGAACAAATTAATCAAACAATAGATATTTTTTGATTGATACACTTTTACTCAAGCATTAGTTGATATATGCTAACAAAGTAAATGTCAGTGATGCGGTTATTTATAGGAAATGATTGTTTTATACTGTATGCCTTTAAATAACGAGAAGTGATAATTCTTGCAATTTGTGTGTACGTATGAATAATTTAATTTTCGAATTAGTGTTACTTGAATTGACGTGAATTTGATTTTACAAAACACAGTATTATAATTTTTTGAGCAAGTACAGTATTATGTCGATCTTCAAGCTGCAACACATGTAAGTCGATTCACATGCCACATGTTTAATTGCACTTTGATTTATACTCTTTAATAATATTACTAGAGTCAAGTAATTTAGATGTGCTTAGATAAGAATAATCAGAAATTATTTAACAATAGCTTTTTGTTGCCGATTTCAAATATCTAGTATGGGCTGGTGCAAAAAGATTTGTACTTCAAATAGCGATGATTAAAATTTTTTTTACAATTTAATTTTTAATTCAATATAATTCTTTGTCAATCGGATTTATAAAAATAAAATTATTTTGATTATTTTAGTATTAAAATAAAAAGTTTTATATTACACCTTTTTTAAAAAAATATTTACTATTAATTTGCTATAGTAATTTTTATATATGTATATACAGTATATATACTGTAGTAAAAAAATTAAATTATCTAACTTTAAAGCTTAATTTCTTTCAAACTAGTAATTCAATTTTTTTTTATATTTATTAACAGTTAATGTCAAGTACAGAAATAAATAGTAATTTACAATTATATCAAGATAATATATAAGTAAAGTATTAAATTTAAAATTTATAATTAATTATCTTATAATCTATGCAATAAAGTAAAGTTTTATCACTTGTAGCTAGGGTTTCAAGATTTGATTTGAGTTTGATTTGAGTTTAACAAACTTCAAATCAAACCAAACTCAACCTTTAAATTTTTCACTAATTTCAAACTTAAATCAAACTCATTTGTTTTTTTTAAACTTAAACCAATCTTAATTTTAATTACTTAGCTAAAATCTTAAAAAATTTAATAGAAATATACTTAAAATAACTAGTAGTAATCATTACCACCTCTAATTATTTTTAGAGTTAAAGTATGGGTATTAAGAATTTTTTTTTTATATATAATATAATATAGAGCTAATAAGATTTCAATTTTAAAGTTTTTAAAGATTTTAAATATTTTTACTTAAAATACCTAATTTTGTTTACTTAGTATATTTTTAAAATATAAGCATCTTGGTAATAATCACTACTAGTTTTTTTTTTTTTTTTTTTTTAAATATTAAGGTGAGTACTTAGACCCTTAATGCTTTATTAGTACTGAACATAATGCTTAACACAAACTAAGCTATAATGTATTTATATTGTGAGAGTACAACTAGCTATATATACAACTTTTGATTGCCTATTTAAGTAGTTTGCCCTAAGGCTCTACACTAGTCACCATACCTATAATCTGCTAAGAGATTACCTGTTTAAACCCTCTGACCCTATATCTGTACTATGATGCCCACATCTAATCCTTTTATTTTGGGACCTGGGATTTTAACCCCTATCACCTAGTCTCTTCTCCAAAACTAGAAGGGTATTTGACTCTGTACTAAACCTGCTAGAATGGTATATATCCCACATATATACTCACCCAGACTTTTAGTAACCTATGCTACGGCTTTATCCACACACTTGAAAGTTATTCACCTTTGCAGTTACTTACTAACACCCTTGCAAAGTTCAGTATTTAGATCCCGGTACTCACTTTTCATTTCTTTTATATCATGTATTCTTGGTTTCCTTAGCCTTCCAATCCAGTTAGCCCGGCAAAGTTGGTCTCTCCAGGCTTTAGGTGCTTTTCAGGTCTCCTTTCCTTAGTACATGCTTCCAGAGCACATGTCCTTTTCTTCTAGTGCAATTCCAGTAGCCAGGTTGGTGGATCCCCCTATCGCAGGATCTTGTCGACCAATTCTACCAATTCTTTGGTTCAATTCAGATCTGTTCTGTGACACCATCAAAGATCCTCACTACTTCTTTGCTCGGGTCTTGCCAAGCTAGTTCCAAATCTTTAAGTTCTCTCTGTTGGTTTTATATGATTCCAGAAGTCTTATCATGGGTTTGCGTGTCTAAACTGGTTTGCATTCCTCTATATAATACAGATGCTTCCAGAATCTTTTAGTGCACAAAGTGCATTGGTGTGACCAGAGTTATAGATGATAGAACCCAACTTATCGATGAAGATCTGTTACTGTAATACAAGTAGTTTTGTTCAAATCATCACTAGTAGGATTCGATCTTGGTACCATAGTTAAGCTAGCTTGGGGGTGCAACAACTCTACAACTACTCTAAGTCACTACACTTTTTAATTACTACTAGTCATAATTAGTAATACTTAATTTATAATACAATTATTATATAATTTATATACAGTCTAACCTTATTATAATTACCAGGCTGGGAACCAAAATTTTGGTAATTATAAAAAGTTGTGACTAAATAAAGATCAAATTTTATATAGTTTATAATAGCTAGACCAAAAAAAAAAGTGTGGTTATAACAAGGTTGTGACTAGAGCTACAGATATTTAGAAGGTCCAAGGTAGTATATTACTCTTTATATCATATAAAATTTATACATAATTATATTAAGCATTATGTTATATATATTATGTCAAACATCATAGTATATATTTATTGATATTTTAATACCTGCAGCTCTAGTTGTGACTATATTAAGAATAACTATAATAAAGTTAGACTGTATTAGTATTTTATAATTATAATATAATTATAATATAATTATGATACAATTTAATTTAATATATTAAAATTGTATTATAAATATAATATTGGATTAATCTTTAGTATAGGTAGCCAATATATATAGAAATATTATAAAATTATAATATATAAAAATAACTATTTGAACTAATTTAAGCAAATTTAGAAATAGTTGGAATTAGAGTAAGAGTTATAGTATAATTTATAATTAGGTTAAGGTTAGGGTTAGAGTTTTTTTATATTATAATCTTATAATATTTCTATATTGACCACCTATACTAAAGGAAATCTATAATATTGTAAACAATTTTTTTTTTTTTTTAAATATTAAGATAACTTTTATAGCTAGAAACTTTTTATTAGACAATTAATAACGTTTACAATTATAATGAGAATACAACTAGCTACATGTACAACTTTTGATTATCTATTTTAAGTAGTCTGTCTAGGTTTTACACTAGCCACCATACTTGCAATCTAACTAGAAAATTACCTATTTAAGCTCTTTAGTTTTTACAAATGAGAGTATGACTAGTCATACTTGTAACTTTTAGTTGCCTATTTAAGTAGTCTGCCCTAGATTTTATACTAGCTACTATATTTGCAATCCAACTAGAGAATTATCTATTTAAACTCTTTAGTTATAACCAGCCTGTTATTTCTTGCCTAATCAAGATTTAACTCACTATTTATAGCTAAATTTTG